CACAAATCTTTTATTACCAGTAATTTCAATAGGAAATATATCAATTTGTAAGACCCCATTCACACTAGCATTTTTTGAATCGATCTAAATAAAACCAGTTAGCGTTCACATTTTCTCTATTGGTCTAATCTGAACCACTGCGTTCACACTGCAAGTAAAAATGCAATTGGTCTGACCTAATTACCACCGAAAGTGTAAACACTGGGTATAAATAGAAATATTTAATCAAATTAATGTGTTGATACACACCCTTGCAAAAAAATAATGGATGAAGTTATTGTTTCACTTGAATTACAAATTCAAATGTTGATATTGTTGTTCTTATAGTTTTCGTTAATTTTCAGCCCTTGTATGCTGGACATCCATTTTGTACTAAATTACACGTGTTATTTTGCCACCATACATGCGCACAAATTATTTTTCGATTCAATCATACTAGTTTAGATCGACTCTGCGTTCACATTTAAAGTTAGATCGGGTCACTTTAGGTCGTTTCAAACTAAACTACCTATTTTGGTGTTTTAATTTAGATGATTCAAGATCGATTCAAAGCGTTTACAATAGGCTTAAATACAATAGGCTTAAATCCATTTAAAGTGAACTTATCTAGTTCAAATCGATCTAAATGTCCAAGTGTGAACAGGGTCTAATTTACAATTCAAAAAAGTACAATGTGTGGCAACATATTACATAAATCTACAGAATAACTTTTTACTTTTTAAATTTTTTTAACTCAATGCCTAATAGCTCCTTTTTCCTGTATTTTTTCATGAACACGGTCAATATCAGAGTTGATGGAAGGTAAAGAAATTCAAATATTACTATCAACTATACAAATCATCAAATGTTACCAGGTTTCAGCAATACTAATTGCTGATAAAGAAAATTTAAGTAAAATATTAACAAGAGGCTCTCAAGAGCCTGAATCGCTCACCTGTAATTTTTTTTGCTTAAATCTTTCATCAATGATTATTTTTGCTTTTTACCCATATGTTCCATTTTAGCCATAGTGTTTGTTTCTTGACGTACAAGGAAATGAAATACAAAATTTGTACTAGATTCATTTGAAAAGATTTTTAAAGTTAAAAAACATAAAACAACTTGTGTAAAATTGTCCTTACAGGGCAATAACTCCTTAACCCTTTCACCAATAGCTGCCCAGACAGAAGCTACTCTGAGACGATGGCTTCCTTGGCTACTATTACTCAAGTGGGAGATCTTCATAAAAAATGTCAATAAAAACTTGTCTGTAGTCATGGTAGTTATTTGTGTCTTTATTTCATTCACTTACACCATGTTCACATGTTTTGATAATTTTTTCTTCAAAAAATATTTAAATTTTCAAATTTTCGGCATTATCTAGGTATAATTCTCAAAATTCTGCTCTTTGACCCAAAATCGTAATTTTTAAACCCAAAACGGCAAAATTTTGAAAAATTTAATGAGGCTGTACAAATTCCTTACACTGAACGATGTCCATTCCAAGTGTTTTGTACATAAAACGACATTTTACGTCAAAAAAATATACTAGTTTGGCTTCAATTCTTCCATATTCTTTCAAAAAAAAATGTTCCCTCATTTCAAATTCTCGTAAATTCCGTAAATTTCCTCCTATTTTGACAAGGTTTTCAACAAACGGAAGCGCCATGTTCACACTTTCATCCGGGTATTCAACAAAGAAAGATAACTCGTGTTTGCACTGTTTTGAGCGGGGAAATATAAAAGAGGTATTCCGATCCCGGTAAAACGGGACTCATCGTCAGCTGTCTGAAGCGTGAATCCCGGTAAACTGGGACTCATCGGCGAAAGGGTTAAGGGGTCAATTGACAATTTTGGTCATATGAACTTTTTTGTAGATCTTACTTTGCTGAACATTTTTGCTGTTTACAGTTTATCTTTATCTTCAATAATATTCAAGATAATAACCGAAAACTGCAAAATTTCCTTAAAACAAGCAATTTAGTGGCAGCAACCCAACAATGGGTTGTTCGGTGTGTCTGAAAATTTCAGGGCTGATAAATCTTGACCTTTTGAACATTTTTCCCCATGTCAGATTTGCTCTAAATGCTTTAGTTTCTGAGATATAAGCCAAAAACTGCATTTCACCCCTATGTTCTATTTTTAGCCATGGCGGCCATGTTTGATGATGGATCAAAATTTCAGATACAATTCATAAACTAGATTCCTAAAGGAACATTCATTCAAAGTTAAGAAGTATAAGGCACAATAGTTTCAGAAGAGAAGATTTTTAAATGTTAGCGAACTTGATAAACACATTGCGTAAAATTGTCTTTAAAGGGCAATAACTCCTTAAGGGGTCAATTGACAAATTTGGTCATTTAACTTTTCTGTAGATCTTACTTTGCTGAACATCATTGCTGTTTACAGTTTATATCTATCTATAATAATATTCAAGATAATAACAAAAAACTGCAAAATTTCCTCAAAACTACCAATTTATTGGCAGCAACCCAACAATGGGTTGTTCGATTTGTCTGAAAATTTCAGGGCTGGTAGATCATGACCAATTGAACAATTTTACCCCATGTCAGATTTGCTCTAAAAGCTTTAGTTTTGGAGATATAAGCTAAAAACTGCATTTGACCCCTATGTTCTATTTTTAGCCATGGCGCCCATGTTTGTCGATGGATTAAAACTTTGGATACATTTTATAAACTAAATATCCTAAGGAACACTTAGATGAAGTTTGAAGGTATTTGGCCCAGTAGTTTCAGAGGAGAAACTTTTTAAATGTTAGCAAACTTGATGAACAAATTGTGTAAAATTGTCTTTAAAGGGCAATAACTCCTTAAGGGGTCAATTGACAATTTTGATCATATAAAACTTTTTTGTAGATCTTACTTTACTGAACATTATTGCTGTTTACAGTTTATATCTATCTATAATAATATTCAAGATAATAACAAAAAAACTGCAAAATTTCCTTAAAACTACCAATTTAGTGGCAGCAACCCAACAATGAGTTGTTCGATTCGTCTGAAAATTTCAGGGCTGATAGATGTTGACCAATTGAACAATTTTACACCATGTCAGATTTGCTCTAAAAGCTTTAGTTTTTGAGATATAAGTAAAAAACTGCATTTGAACCCTATGTTCTATTTTTAGCTTTGGCGGCCATGTTTGTCGATGGATACAAACTTCGGATACAATTTATAGACTTGATACCCTAAGGAACATTTAGTTAAAGTTTGAAGGTATTTGGCCCAGTAGTTTCAGAGAAGAAGATTTTTTAAATAGTTTACGACGACAGACGACGGACGCCAAGTGATGGCATAAGCTCACATGGGGCCTACGGAGAAAGTTAAAAAGGATAATTTTTGTCCAACTTCCATTAAAAGCATTGATATTTTGTTTATCTACTGTCAGAATGATATTAAAAAGGTGGAGAGTTGTTTTCTCAAAATAAAACTGTTATCACAGTGATATGTCTCGCCTTTTTGTAATTTTGATAATGCAAATGTTGAAATTAAAATAGCAATACTTTAACATGTAAGTTATGCAAATATTCAAAGTCGATGAACCATGACTGAAGGTAGATGGCTAAACAATCTCCATGGAATGAGATGTGCCAATGCTAATACAACTACATACAAAATACAATTGACTTATTATAAGTTGTTCCCTTTAAACAAACCTAAACACAAACATTAACTTGTAAACTATGTAAAAGTTTCAAAGTCAATGAACCATGATCAGGGGTGGGCTATATAATCTCCATGGAAACGATACTTGCAAATGCCAATACATTTGCATACCAAATATCATTGACTTTGTAACATTAACAGTTCATCTTAAACTGATCTAATCACAAACTAATACATGTAAACTAAGCAAAAGTTCCAAAGTAAATAGACCATGACTGAGGGGGCGGGGCCAAATATTCTCCATGGAAATGAGATGTGCTAATGCTTATACAACTGAACACCAATTAACATTGGCCTACCACTAATGGTTCCCCTTGAACTGACCTAATCACAAACTAATACATGTTAACTTAGCAAAATTTTCAAAGTCTATAGACTATGACTTAGGGGGCGGAGCCAAATAATCTCCACAGAAATGAGATATGCCAATGCTTATACAACTGCATACCAAATATCATTGACCTACCACTAGTGGTTCCCCATAAATTGACCTAATCACAAACTAATACATGTAAACTATGAAAAGTTTCAAAGTCAATAGACCTTGACTGAGGGGGCAGGGCCAAATATCGTCAGGGTAATGAGATGTGCCAATGCTAATACAACTGCATACCAAATATCATTGACCTACCACTAGTGGTTCCCCATAAATTGACCTAATCACAAACTAATACATGTAAACTATGAAAAGTTTCAAAGTCAATAGACCTTGACTTAGGGGGTGTGGCCAAATAATCTCCATGGTAATGAGATGTGCCGATGCTAATACAACTGCATACCAAATATCATTGACCTACCACTAGTGGTTCACCTTGAACTAGACCTAATAACAAACTTGTACATTGTTGACGCCGCCGCCACTGCCGACGCCGGAAACAGCATACCTATGTCTCGCTTTTTGACTCCGTCAAGGCGAGACAAAAACTGGTTTAACCCCTCAACTTTCTCATGTTCTTGTCCCAAGTGAAGAACCAAGGCATTAGTAGTCTTATGTCATATCTTAATGCTTTTCTTTATTTGGAGATTTTTGAGATAATGACAGATCTCTGATTGCTTCTGCTAAATTTAATTAAAATGTTACAGACTCGGGGCAAATTTGACTGTGTATTATGAAGACTGCATGTGTAGCCCTTTTGATGTCTTTTGCTATTTTTGGGTGGGTTGCTATCTTGACAAATTCTTTTATTCATTTTGACCATTCAAATTGACCAAAATAGACAATTATTAGAGGAAACTTGTTAAAACTATTTCAGGTGTCTCCTGTTGCACTTAAAAAGAAAATTGCAAACGTCTTTCACCCCATTTAATGAATAATAGTAATTTAGTCCATCTTACCTGTGGTGCCCATCTCCACTGAGCATTTGTTGTTGCCCACTGTGGTGTGACCTACAATAGACAAAATTTATGAAATTGTGAATATCTTACTTAGGGCTTTTTCTGCCTACATATTTAGTGCCAAAAGGACAGGTTCATTTTAAGCCAAATACGGCCTAGACCTTCCACTTTGTCATAAAATTTCAAAATGGTTACAATTTGGTTCTTAAATGGATCTATTTCAAAAGCCTAACTACTAGGTGAAACAAATCTCTTATAAGAGTACATTCTAGGCTTCAAAGTCAGCACATTTTCAGAATATTGTCAAAAATCAACGATTTTGTGCATTTTTCTAACCTAATAGCTTGAGGAAACCATTGGCTACAACATAGGATCCAAAATGTTCTGTAGCCAAAGTTGTCAATAATAATATTGAATCCATGGACACAACAAATTTCTAGATAAGGGTGGCGGCCAAAGTAAATTATGTTAAAAACTGTTAAGAATTATTGAAAATTTGACCAAAACTGACGTTATAACACAAATAATGCATACTTGAGGGATCATTTTCTTCATCATTTTTAAAGTGATGTGCCAAAAAGAAGTTATTTTGTAGTGATAGTTATATTACAACTATTTCTATATGAAATATGTAGTATTTTGGCCTGATTAAAAAAACATCAAAATATTAGGACCAATTTTAACCCTTCGTGAACTTAATCCTTTGGCACCTTTCCAAATGAAATAGGGTACATTTTTCTTAAAATGCAGCCTTAAAACTCAATATGCAGTATGACAAAGATCGTTAAATTCTTAATTTATTTCATAATTTTTCCGACATAGAACATATTGTTTTTTTGCACAGTTGCAATCTAGTTTGCGCTAGTTTCCGCTTAAAAAATGATGATTTGACATCATTACTCTTTTCTACAAATGTGGTCAACTTCTTTGCAAAATAGTCTCAAAATGGGAAATACTGATAAAAAAAACTATTAAAGGAAACAAGGAAAAGAAGACATAAATTTTAATAAAATGCTCCGCTGGGGCGCAGCTTGATACGACCGCAGAGGTCGAACCCTGAACAGTTGGGGCAAGTATGGACACAACATTCAAGCTTGATACAGCACTGAATTTGGATTGTAATTAAATATTTGACACAGCATAGGTTTCTGACACAGAATGAAAGTGGTCTAAGAACTTAAAAATTTTCAATTTACCTATTCATACATGTGATGGACTGTGAAACTCAGATCAGGAGATTGGGAAATTTTGGTCAGGAGATTAGGACTCAGATCAGGAGGTTTTTAATCGACATTAATTTTGTTGTAAATGTAACCGTGTGCTGTAAAAATGGTCTTTTAAAGTGTGTTTTCTTCAACTTTCCATCCAATTTATTATGTTTATAGTACCCTTGTACTTATAAAGTTTCTCCATCTTTATATTCTACATGTTCAATCTAACATTGTTTTTTTCCAGTATGTTCTTTAAATTTTTTACTTCATATTCTATAAAACAATCATTGCAACCAGAACATTTGTTTAGCTATCTGCAAATAGTTTTTATTTTTTTTTTTTTTCTCTTGCAAATAGTTTTTATTTGCAAACTCAGAAAATCATTCTATCTGTAAAATTAGGGTCATAGTTATTATATAAATTTCAATTTAAGCCTTGAAAGGAAGTATAGAATCCTCAAATAATTTTCAAATTATTATTTTTTTATTTGTCCTAAGACATTTAAAATCATTTAATAACCATCCTTTTATGATTATTTGTTCAATTTATATTTTATTTATATTCTTTTAAAAATTTTCATTATTAAAAGGAAAGTAACTTAAAACAGGATAAATCAAGGGAAGTAACCCAATAAATACACAGTTTTTGTTACACAACGGCAGTTAGCCTGAGGTAAAAATCGTTGATTACCAGTATGTTTGACACCCAAGCTGACAAGTGAAGCCATATAATTATGCCTGTTAATTGATTTACAGGTAAAATATAACTTCAGGTAATGTCAGTTACACCAGATGCCTGAGATGATATGTTGGGCAGAAATTTATCATTCATGAAAAATTTCATACACGGGATTTTTTCCTCTTCAACGGGAGGTCGGGAGGAGACCCCTGAAAACGGGATTATTGTACTCCCATCGGGAGGTTCACATGTATGCCTATTCAAACCATATCATTATTATTTGCTTTTATATATAAATCAGAAATAACCAATTTAAAATGGAAAATGTTAAAGAAAAAAAAGGAAAAAAAAAATCCCCCCCCCAATTTTTTGAACCCCCTTATGATTCATCACCCCCAAACTCAATCCCAGCTTTCCCTTTATGGTATGGTACCTTGCAGTACAATTTCAGAGAGATTCATACACTTGAACACAAGTTATTGTCTGGAAACTAGAAAAATGCTTGTTTTTTGGCCCCTTTTTGGCCCCAAATTTCTAAACGTTTAGGGCAATTACCCCCAACCTCAATTCCAGCTTTCCCTTTGTGATATGGAACCTTGCAGTACAATTTCATAAAGATCCATACACTTACACACAAGTTATTGTCCTGAAACTAGAAAAATGCATGTTTTTTTTGCCCTTTTATGGCCCCTACTTACTAAAATTTTGAGGGAAAACCCCCAAAATCAATCCCAGCCTTCCCTTTGTGATATGGAACCTTGTAGTACAATTTCATAAAGATCCATACACTTACAAACAAGTTATTGTCATGAAACTAGAAAAATGCTTGTTTTTTGCCCATTTTTGGCCCCTAATTCCTAAAATTTGGAGGAAATTACCCCAAAAATCAATTCCAGCTTTCCCTTTGTGATATGGAACCTTGTAGTACAATTTCATAGAGAGCCATACACTTACAAATAAGTTATTGTCATGAAACTAGAAAAATGCTTGTTTTTTGCCCCTTTTTGGCCCCTAATTCCTAAAATTTGGAGGCAATTACCCCCAAAATCAATCCCAGCATTCCCTTTGTGATATGATACCTTGTGGTACAATGTCAGAGAGATCCATACACTTACACACAAGTTATGTCTGGAAGTTAAAAAAATGCTTATTTTTGGCCCCTTTCGGCCCCTAATTCCTAAACTGTTAGTACCATAACCCCCAAAATCAATCCCCACCTTCCTTTTGTGGTATTGAACCTTATGGTAAAATTTCATTAAGATCCATTCACTTAAACTAAAGTTAGAGTGCGAAAACTAATGTGTCTTCGGACGACGACGCCGGACGACGACGACGACGACGACGACGACGACGACGCCAACGTCATACCAATATACGACCACAAAAATTTTTTTGCGGTCGTATAACAAGAAAACAAAACTTGATGGAGGTCCAGAGTACTTTGACTGGCTAAACTCAAAACTAAAGCAATCTGCTCCAATGTGAACAACAATGTCCATCTCACCCTTTTAGTCAGGTAAGGCAGTGTTGGGCCACATAGGTAAGAAAAATGTAGTCTCAGGTTGTTGATTAAAGAGTTATTCTTAATCTAGTAATTCCTAACATTGCTTAACATGCCTTTCCTTAGCCAGGAACATGCAATACTCTGTGGTTGGCATTGGTCACTTACTGCCATGTTTGTTTTTCATTCATTGTACATGTCTAGTTAACGTTGTATTACAGTCATATGAAACTTCAAATTTAAACAAGCATCCTTTGAGTATTGCCTGGCAATACAGTCCCCTACCGGTTAATAAACAGCTGCGCCATGAGCGCATGATACGCCCGTCGTCTTGTATGTGAATTTTTATGCAATAAGCATAAATAGTTTCTGACATACGGCGTGACATGCAAAAACCCCCCTTTTTTTTTACAAAAAACTCAATATCTCTAAAATAAAATTTTGAATCAAAACCAAAAAGTTTACAGATCTTCTTAAGATTAATATAACTAAGAAGTGTGTAAAATTTTAAGCAATAATCATAAATCGTTTTTGAGATACGGCGCGACATGTGAAAACCCCCCCTTTTAAAAAAAAAAAATCAATATCTCAAAAATAAAATTTTGAATCAAAACCAAAAAGTATACAGATCTTTAGATTAATATAACTAAGAAGTGTGTAAAATTTTAAGCAATAATCATAAATCGTTTTTGAGATACGGCGCAACATGGAAAAAACCCCTCCCCCTTTTTTTACAAAATACTCAATAACTCAAAAATAAAATTTTGAATCATCACCAAAAAGTATACAGATCTTAAGGTTAATATAACTAAGAAGTATTTAAAGTTTTAAGCAATAATCATAAACTGTTTTTGAGATACGGCGAGACATGTGAAAAACCCCTCCCCCTTTTTTAACAAAATACTCAATATCTCTAAAATAAAATTTTGAATCATCACCAAAAAGTATACAGATCTTAAGATTAATATAAATAAGAAGTGTGTAAAGTTTTAAGCAATAATCATAAATTGTTTTTGAGATACGGCGCGACATGTGAAAAAAAACACACACCTGTTTTAGTTACAAGTCCCGTAACTCAAAAAGTTTTAATCTTATTTTCACCAAAAAGTATACAGATCGTTTGACCATCATAAGAAACAACTATGTTAAGTTTCATGAAATCTAGATAAGTCATTCTCAAGTTACGGTGCGACATGTTTAAGCCGGACAGACAGACGGACAGACGGACAGACAGACGGACAGACAGACAGACGGACGGAAGCTGGACATTTGTATACCATAATACGTCCCGTCAAAAATTTGACGGGCGTATAAAAATTCAATGTACTGGAACAAAATGCTAACTTGATCTATAACTTGTCATGGTGTAAAACTATATAACAAATATCAAGTTAATATCTTCAAGCATGACGAAAAAAAGTGTGGAAAATTGATTATTTGAGTGAATTTTCTAAGTCCAATGACCATAACTCTGCACAGAATCATCAGACTGGAACAAAATTCAAACTTGATCTGTAACTTGTCATGATAAAATTATGTACCAATTATCAAATCAATATCTTCAAGCATGACGAAAAAAAGTGAGGAAAACTGATTATTTGAGTGAATTTTTTAAGTTCAAGGACCATAACTCTGCACAAAATAGTCAGACCAGAACAAAATTTGAACTTGGTCTGTAACTTGTCATGATAAAACAATACACCAAATATCAAATCAATATCTTCAAGCACGAAGAAAAAAAGTGTGTGGAAAACTGATTTGCTGGACAGACAGACAGACGGACAGAGTGCAAACCTACACTCCCCTTCAACTTCGTCGGTAGGGGACTAAAAAAAAGGTTGAATATGTTTTTTATACTTGAATGACTTAATTTACTATAAAACAATTGTACGTGAACTTTTTTGTAAAAGAAAATCCTTAATATTAGCATAATAATGTGCATACAGGACATAGTTCAGTATATATGCATGCATTGGTTCAATAATTTCGATAACATTAAAATTAATAGAAACTCGTTTCATATGACTTTAATAAGGCTGATTTTTTTTTTTTGGAATTGTATCACATTTTTTAATACTGGGGTTTTTTCATAGCTTACTACAAGGAATGAGTTTAGTCATCTTTGAAGGCCATAAGTGACATGTGAGTATTCACATCTTTGTGATTTGGTCATATTGTAAAGTTGTCTCATTCATGGCATTTATAAACTAAAGAATGGACTAAATCTTAAGTTTAAAACTATTTTTATTCTACTCCTGAATGTTATCAAGACACAATGGTGACTTATTGTTCTCCTGAATATATTAAAGACACAATGGTGACTTATTGACCTCCTGATATTATAAAGACACAATGGTGACTATTGTACCCCTGAATGTTATCAAGACACAATGGTGACTTATTGTCCTCCTGAATATTATAAAGACACAATGGCGACTAGTGTACTCCTTAAGGCCAAGAAAAAATATATGTCTGTTTACGGTTACCCGACCGACCTTACTTTTGAGCGCCGACCCTAGCCATTTTATTTCTGTCGTAAAGTGAAAAATAAACTGAACTTGTGTCAAAAGCGAGGTTAGTGTTGCCAATAATATAAATCAATTGCCTGATACATCCCAATGTTATCAATCGTGAATATGACAGCTGTTTTAAGGAAATTTTAGACTCGTGTGATGAAATAAAAACTTTGCCGCCATTTTTTTCGAACAAATAACCAAAGGAAAAAATCCAATCATTAAAATAATGGGTAAAATTGGCCCATGATCAACTAGGACCACAACAAGCAAAACCGCATGACTCAAAATCATGTCACAAAAAATAAAATGAAAAAATAAAATAAAATGGAAATACCGACCTACCTACCCTATTTTTTTTAAAGTATGTAACCTTAAACAGACATATATTTTTTTTTGGCCTAATATTATAGACACAATGACGACTAGTGTACTCCTTAATATTAAAAAGACACAATGGTGACTATTGTACTCCTGAATATTATAAAGATAAAATGGTGACTTATTGTACTCCTGAATATTATAAAGACACAATGGTGACTTATTGTACTCCTGAATTTTATAAAGACACAATGGTGACTTATTGTTCTCCTGAATATTATAAAGACACAATGGCAACTATTGTACTCCTGAATATTATAAAGACACAATGGTGACTTATTGTACTCCCAAATATTATATACACAATGGTGATTATTGTATTCCTGAATATCATAGACACAATGGTGACTTATTGTAATCCCGAATGTTATCAAGACACAATGGTGACATATTGTACTCCCGAATATTATAAAGACACAATGGTGACATATTGTACTCCTGATTATAATACAGACACAATGGTGATCTAATGTACTGCGGAGTATTAAAAGGACACAATGGTGACTTATTGTACTCCCAAATATAATAGACAAGATGGTGACTGATTGTACTCCTGAATGTTATCAAGACAAAATGGTGACCTGTTGTACTCCCGAATATTATAGACGCAATGGTGACTTATTGTACTCCCGAATATTATAAAGACACAATGGTGACTTATTGTACTCTCGAATATTATAGACACAATGGTGACTTATTGTACTCCCGAATATTTTAAAGACACAATGGTGACTTATTTTTCTCCTGAATATTATAAAGACACAATTGTGACTATTGTTCTCCTGAATATTATCAAGACACAATGGTGACTATTGTATTCCTGAATATTATAAAGAAAATATGGTGCCTTAAGATCCTCTAAAAATACTTACAGGCTGATATGCATACTGTGGTGAAATATAGTATGCTTGAGTTGCAGCTTGTGGTAACATTAGAGTAGAGTATGCTGCTGCTGCCTGTAGATAGAGAAAACAAGTGAAACTGCGAGCTACTGCTAACTGATGATACCCCCGCCCAAATATAAAAGTGTAAAAATATGTAAAGTGTTCGGTAAACAGGAAGTTGTTGAGTGATGAATCTGAAAACGCATCACACGGTATAGCTGACTTATATAAACCCTGAAACAAAATTTCAGAAATCCTTATGATGTAGTTCCTGAGAAAGATGCGACGAAAAATATTCATGGGACAGATGGACGGACGGACGGACAGAGAGGTAAAACAGTATACTCCCACTTTTTTAAAGCGGGGGTATAATAATTGTTTGATTTCCTGCTGTAATCATCATATTATTACTCTACACAAAAACAGAGTAATCTGTATAGCTAGCCCTGCATATAAGAAATAAGCTGACACACTTAAAATGTCTTGCCTGTTGCAGTTATTAAAGGAATTAGGAATTTATTTTTAAAGCAATAATAAAATTGAGAATGGAAATGGGGAATGTGTCAAAGAGACAACAACCCGACCATAGAACAGACAACAGCAGAAGGTCACCAACAGGTCTTCAATGCAGCGAGAAATTCCCGCACCCGGAGGCGTCCTTCAGCTGGCCCCTAAACAAATATATATACTAGTTCAGTGATAATGAACGCCATACTAAACTCCAAATTGTACACAAGAAACTAAAATTTAAAATAATACAAGACTAACAAAGGCTAGAGGCTCCTGACTTGGGACAGGCGCAAAAAATGTCCAAGGTGAAATCTTGTTATATATTGTTTATCCATCATCTCTAGTCACTGAGGAACAGATTTCAATCAGAAAACTTAATCAGATTTTTACTTGCTATGAGCAATATGACAGGTGCAACTTTGTGGAGCAAGAATTGCTTATCCATCTGAGGCACCCTACTGTTTTTGTTTTAACAAGGTTCAGCAAAAGCCTCTCAACTTGCAAGCCCATAAAACCAGTCTTTTCATAAAATTTCTTTAAATTTATACAAGCTTGTGAGGCCTCTTTTCAGGAAACTTTTACTAACCAATCACTGGAACATCATTATGAGATCACGGTCAAAAGGTAATTGACAGACATAAAAGTCCTTGTGACCATTTTATATTTCAATAAAATGCTCCGCTGGGAGCAGCTTGATACAACCGCAGAGGTCAAACCCTGAACAGTTGGGGCAAGTATAGACACAACATTCAAGCTTGATACAGCGCTGAACTTGGATTGTGATTAAATATTTGACACAGCATAGGTTTCTGACACAGAATGAATGTGGTCTAAGAACTTAAAAAAATTTAATTTACCTATTCAAACCATATCATTATTATTTGCTTTTATATATAAATCAGAAATAACCAATTTAAAATGGAATATTTTAAAGAAAAAAAAAGGAAAAAAAGGAAAAAAAAAATTTTGAACCCCCTTATGATTCATTACCACCAAAATGAATCCCAGCCTTCCCTTTGTGGTATGGTACCTTGCAGTACAATTTCAGAGAGATCCATACACTTGAACACAAGTTATTGTCTGGAAACTAGAAAAATGCTTATTTTTAGCCCCTAATTCCTAAAATTTTGAGGCAATTACCCCCATACCAATCCCAGCATTCCCTTTGTGATATGGAACCTTGTGGTACAATGTCAGAGATCCATACACTAACACACAAGTTATGTCTGGAAGTTACAAAAATGCTTATTTTTGGCCCCTAATTCCTTAACTGTTGGTACCATAACCCCCAAAATCAATCCCAACCTTCCTTTTGTGGTATTGAACCTTATGGTAAAATTTTATAGAGATCCATTCACTTAAACTAAAGTTAGAGTGCGAAAACCAATGTGTATTCGGATGAAAATTTTTTTGCAGTGGTATAACAATTGACCCATCATGTATAGCTACTGATGATCAACCTGAATACTTATCCCCACCAGGGTGTGAAATAGAGATCAAGGCAAAATGACAAATGTCAGATACATATGCTTGGCACACTAACCTGTAATTGGACCTGTGGATCCACCCCTGCTGGTTGACTGGAATATTAGTCCAGTCTGATATAAAATTAAAGAACCTTTGTGAGCACGCTCAAAAACCCTATGCCCCCACATTGTCACTGGGTAAACAAAATCTCACTAGATTCCCAAGTTCAAAATGTTCAAAGACTCATAACTCCTAAAAAAGTCAACTGATGAAAATCCCTTGAAGATATGCATGTCTACATAGTATATCCTTATTATCTACAAAGTTTCATGGAATTCTGTTGTTTGGTTTCTGAGGAGTTGCAATGACAAGAACAGGACTGACTGACAGACTGATGAGTCAAACACATTATACCCTATGCAACTTTGTTGCGTGGGATATAATAACAAGTATATAGTAAAGCATTAGATTCTGGCCCTGCTGGAAAATATTTACCTGTGATTGGACCTGTGGCTGAGGTATAGGATATCCTCCCTCTGTTGGGGGCTGGAATATAGCTAGTCCATTTTGGTATGTATATGGTATGCCATTAGAGTACATGACTGATCCTGCTGGGAGGGTAGGATCTACAAATAAAGTTAGCTAGCAATTCATACAACATATACATACATTAAAAACTATATATATATATATACATGTTGTGCTTTATGGTGCAGATTTTACTGTCAAGTGTTTATTTATACATTTAAACTATTCCAAACAAACTTTATAGGTCTAACTTTATCAACAAATTAAGGAAAATTTTTCTTAAGGGTAAATCACTAATAAATTAAAACAAGTCCTATATAATGTTAGCATTTTCAAATGAACCGAGAGATTCATTTTTAGCCAATATAAATGCCTACTACAAGAAGGGGAAGGGCTGAGACTTTTATTCTTGCTACACCAGCAATACTATTACAAAAAGGTCACATTTTGTTGATGGTGTTCTTTAAGAGAACAAAAATATCTTTTGAAAATTTATTTGACAATGTATGGTATTGCACAATTCCAAATCATAATTTTAACAAGTATTTTATGTATCAGCCTATTTACCCATCCCTGGCTATCAAATGTTCAGGTTTGAGCATTCCTAATGAAGTTTAACAAGAAAACCCCTTCAGACATTCAAAATATATTTCATTTTGAGGGTATTGCAAATGCAATATAATTTCAACTATGAAGAATTATTTAATTTTTTTTTTTTATCAAAACAATATTTAAAATTGAAAAAAATACATTTCTATACATTGTGCAATGCATTTACTACAGTTGACCTTTTGCACCTGACAGTAAAATCAAATAGTATATGTATATTTAAGCATGATTGCAATATGCAGATAATTTCAAAACCATTTAAAACCAGTCATACAAATCTAACTGCCAACATAAAAAGTAGATTTCTAAGTAAAATGACCAACAGACTATATTACCAGATATATACATTCTATATACTACACACTAAATGTAAGTTTTATAGTATATAGAACAAATATCTTAAACCAAAAATATACACTTTGTCAAAGTTTTTTATGAACGTTTTCTTTGATATCAAAAAAGGAAGGGAAGAACTTGTATGACTGATTTCTGATGGACTTAACACAAACTAGTGAAGTGTTGTTACGCTAAGGTTGGGTGTCCAACTCATGCTAAATCTGCTATAAACAACAACATGGATTACATCATTATATAATAAAACATGGGTAATAACCAACAATTTTAAAATGCAATAAACTTCAGTTTATATCCAAAAAGTGACTGTCAACTACTTGTTATGGCGCTTTCCCCAGTTCTTAGTTCAGAAAAAAATTTTGTAACTGAAAATATTGAAAGTTAAAACTAATAACACAAGATAATTAAAATATTTGTTGTTTTGCAGTGTGGACACTCATGACAAAGATTTATGGAAGTTCTTGTGATGCATAAAAGATTTAAATATGCATGTACAATAATGAAAGTCCAAAAGCTTTCTATGAATAATTTTTTGAGAAGTAATTTTCAATTGAAAAAACACTGACTAGTCGAATATATGTACACAATGTACATGTAAATGTATACAATCTTTATGCATCATTTAAAAGCAATTAAGTCTTTGTCATTTTCCTTTATAAATGATTACAATGCCTTGCTATGTAAGAAATTTCAAAATCGCCAAAAGTTATAGATTTGTCTTCATTACCTGGGAAAATCGTATAATAATGAATAATAAAATACTAATTCAATTCGATAGTGCACCCTGCATGCCAAAAAAACTGCAAAAAAGATAACGGTAGTGTTTTTGTGTGTACAGAACAGAAACAAAGTAACATCAGTCAGCAGGCTTGAACGTTCAGGCATCAACTACCTTATATACTCTTGGGTGCTGTCTTCAAGCTGAAGAAAAATGGTAACTCTTGATAGCAATATTTACTTTGTTTAACAGACCTGACAAATAGTACATCCTATTCTAACTGTATTTTTTGTTTGTTGAGCAAAAATGAGTAGTGTCAGGTGCAAAAACAACAAAAATAAGTATGGTTGAACAGGAAGAGACTGTCCAGTATATCTGAAATTTGTATACCCTGTATAACAAAATATTTAAGGTTACATACCAAATATCAAATCATTCCTTAATATAGACACTTATTAATATGTTACTTCGTTACAAACAAAAAATGTATTTTGTGTTCATCTGCAATAACTTATAAATCCTAGATCATAAATACTATCTGCATTTTTTTAATAGTATGTTTTGCTTTCAGAAAATAAAAAAGAAAAATTGGGCTCTCTACTCTTATTATTGAAATATAACATTATCAATGTAAATTACAGTATATTCCTTTATAAATTATCTGAATAATCTACCATGATATATAACAATGATTGGAAATTTGAATCAATGAGACTTTTTCTTTTTTTGTATAAAAAAAGTGATACAATGTAAAAGATAAAATTGTAAAAAGTCCCAGTTTCTAATGAGGTGGCTTAAAGCAAACACCAATCAATCAATCTCAAATAAATTCCATTTCTGCATCAAATTACAAATTTCAGTAAAAATTTACACCAATCATTTGCAATCAAAAATTAATTTTGACCCCTATCTACCTTAAATACTCAATATTACAGAAATTTCTACTTGAAGAAAACTTTTTAAAATATCATGTTTGAATAAAAGATGAGGGATTGAGAGATAGCATATCACAATAAACTGCTTCGCTGAGCGCAGCTGGATACGCCCGCAGAGGTCCAACCCTGAACAGTTGGGGCAAAAATGGACACAATATTCAAGCTTGATACAGGTCTGAATTTGGATTGTAATTAAATATTTGACATATTATAGGTTTCTGAATAAATGAAGTCAAAGAACTTGAAATTGGTTATATGAATTGAATTTATATTCAATTAAAGATTTCTTGCTGTTGTGCAATACACTGTGCCGTTGCGCAATACTTAGTAAATCTGTTGTCAGACTATAAACAAATAAAGTTCAATTAATTCTCAATGTCATATTAGAAATTTATGAAAATGTAAAGGGAGCTTACATCAATAGATATAAACAATTCACCAAAGTTTCATGAGAATTGCTGACAGCATTTTCGAGTTATTGTCCGAAAACTAGAAAATTCCCCCCTTTTTTAATGAATACAAGAGTGGACACGCTGAAATGTCTCGCCTTCTTTACTAATCATTGATATTATGTTGATAGTCCTAAATATAAAGCTTTATTACAACTGTCACATAAACTTAACATCAACCAAGTAAACTAAACATTGACCAATGAACCATGAAAATGAGGTCAAGGTCAGATGAACCATGCTAGGCAGGCATGTACAGCTAACAATTCTTCCATACAAGAAATATAGTTGACCTATTGCTTATAGTATGAAAAACAGGCCAAAACACAAAAACTTAACACTGAGCAATGAACCTTGAAAATGAGGTCAAGGTAAAAAAAAACCTGCGTGACTGACAAATAGATCATAAAATATTTCCATACACCAAATATAGTTGAACTATTGCATATAGTATTAGAAAAAAAGACCAAAACTCAAAAACTTAACTTTGACCACTGAACCATGAAAATGAGGTCAAGGTCAGATGACACCTGCCAGCTAGACATGTACACCTTACAATCTTTCCGTACACCAAATATAGTTGAACTATTGCATACAGTATAAGAAAAACAGACCAAAACACAAAAACTTAATGTAACCACTGAACCATGAAAATGAGGTCAAGGTCAGATGACACCTGCCAGCTAGACATGTACACCTTACAGTCCTTCCATACACCAAATATAGTAGACCTATTGCATACAGTATAAGAAAAACAGACCAAAACACAAAAACTTAACTATAACCACTGAACCATGAAAATGAGGTCAAGGTCAGATGACACCTGCCAGCTAGACAAGTACACCTTACAGTCCTTCCATTCACCAAATATAGTAGACCTATTGCATACAGTATAAGAAAAACAGACCAAAACACAAAAACTTAACTATAACCACTGAACCATGAAAATGAGGTCAAGGTCAGATGACACCTGCCAGCTAGACATGTACACCTTACAGTCCTTCCATACACCAAATATAGTAGACCTATTGCATACAGTATAAGAAAAACAGACCAAAACACAAAAACTTAACTATAACCACTGAACCATGAAAATGAGGTCAAGGTCAGATGACACCTGCCAGCTAGACATGTACACCTTACAGTCCTTCCATACACCAAATATAGTAGACCTATTGCATACAGTATAAGAAAAACAGACCAAAACACAAAAACTTAACTATAACCACTGAACCATGAAAATGAGGTCAAGGTCAGATGACACCTGCCAGCTGGACATGTACACCTTACAGTCCTTCCATACACCAAATATAGAAGACCTATTGCTTATAGTATCTGATATATGGACTTGACCACGAAAACTTAACCTTGTTCACTGATCCATGAAATGAGGTCGAGGTCAGGTGAAAACTGTCTGACGGGCATGAGGACCTTGCAAGGTACGCACATATTAAATATAGTTATCCTATTATTCATAATAAGAGAGAAATTAACATTACAAAAAATCTTAACTTTTTTTTCAAGTAGTCACTGAACCATGAAAATGAGGTCAAGGACATTGGACATGTGACTGATGGAAACTTCGTAACATGAGGCATCCATATACAAAGTATGAAGCATCCAGACCTTCCACCCTCTAAAATATAAAGCTTTTAAGAAGTTAACTAACGCCGCCGCCGCCGCCGGATCACTATCCCTATGTCGAGCTTTCTGCGACAAAAGTCGCAGGCTCGACAAAAACCCCATAACTCAGAAATGATAAATGAAAAATTTATAAAATTCTAAACGGAGCTTACATCAATAGATATATAAACAATTCACCAAAGTTTCATAAGAACTGCTGAAAGCATTTTTGATTTTTTGTCCGAAAACTGAAAAATCCCCCTTTTTTTAATGAATAAAACCCCATAACTCGGAAACGTAAAATCTAAAATTTATAAAAATCGACAGGGAGCTCATGTCAATAGATATAAAAAATTCACCACAATTTCTTGCAAGTTGGTGAAAGCATTCTTGAGCTATTGTCCGAAAACTGGAAAATCCCTATTTTTTTAATGAATAAAACCCCATAACTCGGAAACGTAAAATCTAAAATTTATAAAAATCGACAGGGAGCTCATGTCAATAGATATAAACAATTCACCACAATTTCTTGCAAGTTGGTGAAAGCATTCTTGAGCTATTGTCCGAAAACTGGAAAATCCCCATTTTTTTAATGAATAAAAACCCCATAACTCGGAAACGTAAAATCTAAAATTTATAAAAAACGAACGGGAGCTCATGTCAATAGATATAAACAATTCACCAAAGTTCTATGCAATTTGGTTAAATCGTTTTTGAGTTAATGTCCGACATGTTGACGACGGACGGACAGACGGACGGACAGACGGACAACGGTATACCATAATACGTCCCGTAAACGGGCGTATTAAAACCATTTCATTTCAAACAAGACTTTCAAATCCTATTCAAGTTCTTAAATAACTGAAGGGTTACTTGTAGTTGTGCATATGCTTGGCCTTTGGTCTTCAATGGAAATTGTCTCAATGGCAATTATACCAGATCTCATTTTTTAAAATAAAACAATAGAACAGGACGTACAAATAGTGTGTTTGATGTTAATTCAGGTTTCCTACCATCAACTAAAGAAACAGCGAGCAAATCTCATAAAATGCAGTCCCCACCTCTTCAAAATCCTTATTTTCCCCCAGGTAAACCCAAAAAATAATTTGAATAAAAAACAAAATAGGTGCAAATTGGCATCATAAAATATCGAAAATTCTGAAAAAAATTCATTAAATTCTGATTTAAAGGGACAAGAAAACGAGGATACAAATGTGTACTATGCATTTATGACAATGTTCATGTCAAGCCAAAGTAAACACCAAACAAGAGTGCACACACTGATATATCTCACTTGCTTTACTGATCATGATTGAATTTAATTTGTAAGCCTTTAATGCAGGTGTCACATAAACATAATTAATGATCCATAAAAGTATAGACATTGCCAGATAAGCAAGACAGACATGTACACCTTACAATCATTCCATTCATCATATAGATTTGACCTATTGCTTTTAGTATCTGAGAAATGGAAATTGAGTTCAGGAGTAGCAAAAGTGGACAGACACTCCCATGAAATCTGGGTCAAAACTCTTTATTTGGAATATATCTTTAACAAGTTTGCATAAAAATGAACCTGTGTAGCCAGTTCCATAATTTCAAGGTTAACCAACTTAAACCTGATACAGGACAGATGAACACAGATCAGAAACACAACGTTCCCCTATATTCAAAGGCGGGACATAATAAAAATGATGATGTTTCAGTAAACCACTATATAATTCAGTCTGAAACTTACTACAGTGATCACAAATACCTAAATGACATGTAAAACAGGCACCTGTGACAATTAATTGATTATTGGGGACTGTCACAAATAAAACCAAAAATATGGTTTTGAATCATACCAGAATCTTGATACCATACTCTAATATTTAATTTTTTTTAGTTTGTCGACTAAATTCATGAAATGAGAAGAGACGAATACTCCAAAATAATATCTCTGCTTCAAAAATTGTGAATTTAGTTGCAGTTTATGTCCATGGTTTGCCTGTACAAAGGCTAAAAGAAAAGTGGAAAAATCACAAAAAACAATCAAGGATTTTATAAAAGGAGTACCCTAATGAGTTTTCTTGAATACTGAAATACCCCTGCTTCTTATGATAGTAAATTTTATTGCCACTTAGTATTTGATATTATTCCTGTACAATAGAAGGTAAATGAATTCCAAGGTAAACCACTTCATCATTATTATCTACAAGTAATCTGTAAAAGTCATCAGCTATCTATTTATAGATGTTGTTACTACTCAGGTGTAATTATCATGCAGTATGTTGTCACAGTGTGTTATTGTGCATTAAAACTTTCTCTTACTTACCATAGGCTCTGGGAATTATCTGTAACAAAAAGCAAGCAAATTATAAAACAACTTTTTAATTAAAATATTCCTCATACAATCATTACTGTTTGAACTTTTTGTCAGTTATGATGAGCATACATTTCATCAGTATGTAAGGCACTAATAATTGAGTCATATTTTAAAATTTGTTCAATATCTCAAGTATCTCAGTATACCAGGCACTAGAAAGGCTGCTGACAACTACTCACTGTTTGTGTGACTATTAGTTTTCCATTCTTATGTTATGAAATTACACCTGATAGATTATATTGATCAAATTCAGACAATTTACTTCATCCTTTAAAAAGTTTCAAAAAAGTCTACCGACAGTTGAGATTTTAGAATAAAAACTTATTCAATAACACAATTTTTTTTAACAAGTCAAACTTTTTATAACTATCCAATACACATGCATGCAACTGTCCGCTATTTTTTCAACAAGTAAAAGATTAGACCCTTAATCACAAGTCACAAAATAATTTCATAATAAATAACACCAGAAAAACGATTATCAGACATATTAAAACACCTCATCAAGTATCATTTCTTATTTTAAGTGATTTACTACCAATTGATCGTCAAAAGAAACCTGGTATTGTAAATTAGTTTTCATTCCTTATTTATAATCATATTGAAAATTCTGTCGTTTTTTTTACTGTCTCAAAATCAGAACTATAGCAAGTATGATATTTTGATCCTTCTCTGTTTAAATGACACAATTATATATCACTCTGCAAGGAAATAAATTAGTGGGTCATTTTAGAGGAAAATGAACAACAGCTGATTTTAAATTTAATTCATTTAAATGCTGTGATATGGACAGTTTAATAGAGTTAATAAAATTTTAATGTTAAATCAAACAAAAATGTAATTTGACTTTGTCTTCAAACAATTGAAAGAGCGATGATAAAAACCAAACTTTTTCACACAGATTTTAGATAATCAATGGGTCAGTAACTAATATTGTGTCACTAGCGGCAATAAAGGCAACTGTCTTTAAAAATCCTGCCATAATACAATTTTAAATTGTATTAATGTTAAAAGGAACTAACCACAGCTTCTTGCTCCAAACTGACTTGTTTTCTTATGGCTGGTCCAATATTCAACTTTCTGTCTCTAAATACCAAATTCTCTGACTAAAATTAAGAAAAATATCAAGGTAACCACTACAATATAAGAACAGCATTTCAATATTCCTTGCAACAGTCTTAATAAGTGTCTAGAAATATAGGCAAGAGAGCAAAAACAGTACAATTTTGAATGAAACTAATGAAATTAAAAGGACAATAACTCTGGTTACAATTTTTTTTATCATAACCTCTTTATTTACTTTCAGCAACGAGCTATTGCCTTTTATCTGATATCAAAGAAGAAGTATAAGAGCCATTTTTTGGCCAATGAAATTAAAATAGTATAAAATTCTCCGCAAGGACTCACAGAATGAGTAAGGCCATAGAACTGAAAAATTTGAAATTGGACTTAACCATGATAACATAGGTTTCTGACAAAGAGTGAATGTAGTCATGTAAGAAATAAAAAATTTGAAAATTGGACATTTACCTATTACGGTCCAATATCCAAAATCTATATACATGGTTAGATTCAGCATATCAAAGAACCCCATATATTTAATTTTTGTTGAAATCAAACAAAGTTTCATTTTGGACCCGATTTAGACCAACTTGAAAACTAGCCCGAAAATCAAAAATCTAAATACGTTTAGATGTAGCATACCAGAGAACCCCATCAATTCAATTTTTGTTAAAATCAAACTTAGTTTAATGTTGGACCCGATTTGAACCTTAATGTGGACCAATTTGAAAACCAGGCCCAAAATCCAAAATCAGACAATTGTCTGGAAACTAAATGTCATCAGACGATGACGAGGACAAAGTCATACCATTATACATCCACAAAAATTTTGTACAAAAATTATTCAAGCCTTTAAAATCATAATAATTTTAGGGAATAATGATCAACCTTGACATAACTGACATATTAGTGCAGAAAGGTCAAAATTGTAATATTTTACCTAAAATTACACTTTTACAGGTATTATTTGGTCAAAATATATATGAACCAAGGCCTAACCAAAAAAGATATTTTACACACATTATCATCTTTGAAAAAACATTTTGTAGCAAAATATCTGCTTTTAAATATCAATGACAAGATCTCATAATGAGGCTATTTTGACAGTTTTTGCAATTAAAAAAATAAAAGACTGAAGACCAAATGCAAATATGTAAGACAAAATTAAAAAAATCTGATTTTTCAGTCTACTGTCTTGAAAACATCTGAATCATATTATCTTGCCCATTTATAATACTTTTTTATTTTCCAATTCAAAAATGTAGCCTATCATACATTGTACATTCTCCTTTGTCAAAACATGTAGCCATGAGAGTCCTACAAGATGAACAGATGCATGGACAGACACAGCATTTCTATTTCAATCATTTTCCTAATGACTACAATTCAAACAATGAATATATTCCACACAAATATTCTAGAATGTTTTACATATAGCTTTCATCTGCTTTACATTTTTTTTTTTTATTTTGTGAAATGCCAAGTCAGATGATGACCCCACTTGCATATAATGTTGTAAAGGGACATAACTCAAGAACGGTAAAAGTGATGCTACCTAAATTCGTTTTTGATCCGAGTTTTGTGGTAAAAAGCGTTGTGTATAAGTTTCATAACATTTGGTTGAGGCAAACTTTAGAGAATGGAAATGAAAAATTGAGCAATTTTTCCATTTGTAAAGGGGCATAACTCTAGAAAGGTAAAAGTGACGCCATCCAAATTCAAACTTCATCTGTGTTTTGTGGTAATAAGCATTGTGTATAAGTTTCATAACATTTGGTTGAGGCAAACCAATTTCGGGACATACAGACAGACAAGGGTAAAACTTAATGCCCCCTCCGCTACGGCAAGGGCATAACAAAATTTAAATTTCAACTGAAGTGGATAAACTTACTTCGTTTTTAATTATTCTGTCTGCATCTTCTTGGTTTTCAAAGGTTATGAAGCCATACCTATGTTCAAAATAAAATTCATAGTACACATAACTTCAGAAACTCTTTCAGAACACATTTTTGAGTTTTAACAACATATTTAATACAAACAGAAAAATGAAATATATCAGTGTTCTCCCAAGGCCAATATGACGCTGCGGTCCCGCCACGCCTTAATTGGCCGCTGTCCCTTAATACTTGATCCTGCAGCGTGTTAATTTTCACATTTTAATTATAAATGTTGGTTAAAATTGTCAAGTTGATGATCACCGCTGAGAGGTCGGTCAATGTTGCACAATAACTGATAACTAGCAAAAGTCTCTGATTTACCTGTTCCAGCCTTATCAGACCATGTAATCAGGTTATAGCGTAAATGATCATCATGAAGATAGATATTTTTAGTAGAAAATAAAAATAGATCGCAAATACATTGTATTGACGCATCGTCTGTGTGCGATCACTTGGCCATTTAAATAACGAATTTTTTCATTGGTCGAGAAGAAGAATCTATTTAAACAAGACCAATGAACATGATGAATACACGTGATAAATTTGAATACACATTACTAAAGAAATTTACGATGAAATTTAGGAATGAGAGTATTTGTACGTCAAAAAAGTAAAATAAACTGTTATTAAAGATAACGAGGAGTGATTTAATTTATTAGAAAGTGAAAAATTGTTGCTTGCAAGTAAAATTCCTCTGTCAACTGTCACGTTTTAGAAATAAAATAATTTTTTTACATCGATCGTTAATTCGTCAATCAGGAAATATATGTACGGAATCACTGCAGCATTTGTATAATGTCACTAGAATTTCACTGGCCTAAACTTTGACGAATTTGTCAAGTTTCGTTTATATTTACCTGCCAAAGAAATGTTTTGACAATTATACACACGGAAGCGTAATGTCAAACTACGGACACTGGTCAGCTGGTTCATTACATTTTTTTTGTTTTAAAAAGTTGTATACCAAAGCATCTTAAACATAATCAATTTTAATGCTGAATCAACATGTTCTTTGCAAAGAAGAAATGGGTTAAGCGAAAGGCAGATGATGTTTTCAACCCTAAAGAGGATAAAGACTGAGGAACAGCGCTGTCCAATAAAATTACAAATTGTCTTGTTACTATATCTCTAGAACATGTAGAAGGAACAGAGTACAGAAATAAATATTTCTGAAGCTGTTCAGCATTGGAAGGCCCAGAAGAACATGAGGATTTTTCTTGAACTATATATACATTTTGACTTATTTAATTGACTGATATAAATGCTTTTTGTGTATAAAATGAATATATTTCATATATATATTCTTATTCTTTATCATGTATATTAATACTGTGCATTATTGCATATAATGATTTATGACAGATTGCTTCAGGTCTCAATAGTTCACTCTAAAATAGAGTTACACGCCATTGAAATCTTGCGTCTCAAAAAATTTCTGGGGAGAACACTGCAGTGTTCTCCCCAGGGCCTTTTAGCATCATGGTAATGTGATACTATTTTTCTTGAATGTGATGCTATCTGAAAAGAGTTTCTTATAGGTTGTGTTACGGATGTGATGCTATAATTTTTAGAAACAAGATGGTATTCCAAATTTCCCTGTTTACCAGGATGCTATATGAAATATCTGGGGAGAACACTGCACTGTATATGTACTTTACTTCTTGCAGAATTCCAGAATAATTTCAGACCACCACATTTTGTGCCAGTTTCAATTCAGACTATCTGGACCATGTGTTGTTCTTTGTTGTTTGACTGTCTATTTTCTCCAAGAGGTCTTTAGTGGTGGATGTGGTAAATGCATGTACTATGTACGTTTTCACTCAAGAACTTTTTTTTTAAGGAATACATGCACTCATTTTTATCTGAAAATTCAAGCAGATTTCAAAGAACTGATGCATGATTGAGCTTAAATGATGACTTACCCTTTAGAAACTCCAGCTCTATCAGCAATAATCTTTGAATCTTTGACAGCTCCATAAGCACAGAAGAAATTCTTTAATTCATCTTCAGTTGTCTGTAAACAATCATGGAACTTGACAATGCAAATCTTTGTAGGCAAGTTCTTAACCTTCTTAACCTAACATTTGTAACACATCTCACACTTTATAGTCATGTACATGTAGAGGTACAGTACAAAAATAAAAATACATGTTTTCTAAAGTTCAGAATCACATCTGTTGATATAAATATATCTTTTATACAATACAATACAAAACAAAACTAGATTGCTAGGCTATAGTGAAATGTACCCTGTGCATTATACACGAATAATTAAATTGTGTGTCAAAATGTGTCATTGTGGAACGATACTGTCAAAATATGGTAAAAAGTCCAATCAAAATGGTCAAATCAAAATGACCATACAATTGCTATCAACTACACATTTTTGAAAAAAGGCTTCCCCTTTTCCTCAGCACTATACGCTGTGTTAAATAGCACTTTGTACCTTTTTAATTTTTCATCATGATTTTTTATGGTGTCAAGTTTTAAATTTTTTGTCCAACGAACCAGGGCACTTTCCCTTTTACAGTTTACTAGTTATGTTCTAATATTATATTCTAGAGTTTCCTTGACACCATAAAAGTGAATTTTTTAAGTCCAAGGACCATAACTCTGCACAAAATCATCAGAACGGAACAAAATTCAAACTTGATCTGTAACTTGTCATGATTAAACAATACACCAAATATCAAATCAATATCTTCAAGCACGAAGAAAAAAAGTGTAGAAAACTGATTTGCTGGACTGACGGATGGACAGAGTGCAAACCTAAAGTCCCCTTCTACTTCGTCGGTAGGGGACTAATTAGGAACATAGGAAATTTATCAAAGCAGCAGAAGAATCTACTTTGACCAGTTTGGCATGAATCTGGGTCACAAATATGGCAGTTTCATGATATCATAAAGGCAAAAAGCAATTGCCTTAAAAATACAACTTTATGAAAGAACATAATTATGAGGTCATAACTCTTCACAAGTGTTCTAATATATCAGGGCTTACTGGTTTTGTATTTGTCAGATATTTAATATTTGTCAGAAGCGTGAAATCTTGAATACCCTCTTCAGAGGTTGTGTTTTGAACGTTTAGGACATACTTAAAACCAAATATTGTTTGAAAGGTTGATTGTTTCACAAGTCAGGATTACTACATGTAGTTACATGTACGTGATAACAAATATTTGTATATCAGTTCTGTTTGAAATATCTTTTTCAAGTAAGCCATTCCTTCAGCACATAGTTTTGACATTTTCAGTTTCTTAAACATTTAACATTTTGTATCTTATTGAGAAAAAAAATCCTACCTTGCTACATGTAGCTACATTTTTACCTGCAGTCTGCACCTTTAGCCACTAGTCCAATGCCCCAGACTTGTAAATTCATTCGGACTAGTAAGATTTTGCAAAACTTTGTTTAGACACATAAGAAAAATGTTGGAATATTGGTCTTCAGACTAGTAGTCGGAAAAGATTTTGGTGCAGACTGCACCTAACCATACCCAACAGACATGGTCAGGTTTGGTCAAACTGAAATACTTTTAATTGTGGCCTTAACTATACAGTGATCTAAAATTTGCAGACTTATACACAAGGGTCTTATATTAAGATATTAATTGAAATTTTATGTAGTACCTAAAATTGAAATTACAGAGCCAAGTAGCCTTAGGCCTCTAAAATTTGAGCTGGTTACTGATTTTTTCCACATTTTTGCTTATTCATATCACACTGGGTCACCATAATTATGGGCTACCACTTGAAATGTTAGAGTGCCTAGAATAAATAATTGTGAAGTCAAAGAATTCCAGCTTATTTGAATGTTTGGAGATTTACTGCATTAAAATCATCTGCAAATAAATGTGAAGAAATGTCATGCCAAAAAAGAGAAGGTTCCTAATCTGAAAACAACAACAGTCATGTACAATCCAAACTATATCCCTTTCAGTTTTTGACACACATTTTCCTGAAAAATCTGAAAATTTCCTCCTCAAGTATTATGATTATAGATACATTGTGCACTTGTATATGTTTTAGCCCAACACGAGTCCAAATGTGTATTAAATATATAAAATACACAAAATTCCAGTTTTAATGCATATGCACACTTAAGTATATCAATGTGTCATTATGTGACTTAGGCCAAAATAAATAGATTGTGTGTTTCCTATCTCACCTCCAAAAAAATTAGGTAGGGTATGTAGGTAAAACATTTTATTTTATGAAAACATTTTTTTTTCTATTGATGACATCAGAAAAAGGTTCCAAATCAAATTGTTTGATGTTCCTGCTCCTTTGATATCTAGAATAGTACTTGAATCTACAGCTCTTTTAATTTTCTGTTTTAGTTCTGTGTCAGAAATATGAAAATAAACTTTAATGCAAATTTTATGCATTTCTTTGGTCGTAATAGGAATATGTTCTTGCCGATTATCTTAAACCAAAAATGGCAGGGAAACATCCAGCATGGTATGTTATTATGTTGGGCCTCGTTGAACCTAACAATGTAAATGACCCACAGGGTATACATGTGGGAGCAGATTAGTACCCCTTAAAAACACTGAACCGATGCTAAGCAGCAGTTGATTATGATTTTTCGAGGGGTGATACTCTGCCCTTGCACCCTCTTTATTTAATATACAGATGTGTTTTGATGTTTAACAGAATATGATCTTGAAGAGAGGGTGGTTCTGACAATATTAAATTTTCAGGTTTTGAGAAGAGTGAGAATGCGAAATCTTAGTCTTTACCTACTGGTCAAATAAATTGCAGATATAAATATGACATGAATTTTTTTTTCCTTTCTTGTATAAATTGTTATGGGACCAGCCGGAGAAAATATGAAAGAATAAAAGTAGGCATGGTGCCGGGAACAGATTCATTTATAAATGAACATGAATCATACACCATGTCTGCCTACTAGGGAAAGCTTCTTTTCCTCTTTCTCATACACCGTTGTCTTCCCCCTTGTCGTCATTAACTCAAATGCTCATAAGCATTAACACGATTAACAGTCGTTCATGTTGCGTCCTGAGCACAATTCTGTACAACATTAGTAAGAGAGTTTTTTACAACAAAAGCTGGATTGATTTTAGCAGTAAATTGAACTCATTTTACTCTAAAATTGTTTGTGAACTAACAGACAGATACAGTCTGTCCATCCTGAAACGATTCTGACTTTTGGTCCAAAGAAGCACAGGTACACGACAAGATTTGGTTAATATATGTATATATACTGAATACACTATTCATTATAAATACAAATATTTAAAAATTCTCGTCTTGTACCTGTGCAAAAAAGTTGAACAAAATGCGTCAACTTCCTATTTTTTTCGTCTATATGTCAATCATGATGTTCTTCATAAAGATTCATCTTATCGTAATTATCAGGAATCGATGTCTGACATTATATTTTGAGTCCATGTGATCACATTTCTCATATTTGACAGCTAAATTATACGCTACGCGTAAAATTCTAAACGAATAATCGGATCGTGACAGACCAAAAAATCCGGATTTTTAATATTTTTTTAAATTTTGTCAATAAAATGTTTAGGGTGGGTGTCGGAACAGAGGTAGGGTCGGGAAACCGGAAACACACACTTTATTTATTTTGGCCTTAATATACATGTATGGACCTACAAAATTAAATATATATATCGTGTGTAATACAAGTCTAAATTGAAAACAACAACGTATCGTGTATAATACATGTATATGGATACTGATTAGACTTTTTGTTTTACTAATCAAAATTTGCAAAGGGAGAAAGCAATTGACAATAATTTAAGATAAACTTACATTTGCTGCTATGCCACCTACAAATATCCTGTTTGGAATCACTGTCCCGTATTTTGGAGCATGTGTCCCACTCAAAGGTGTTGTTGATGGTGTTATACAAGGGGATATGTCTGCTGATGTTGACTGAAATTGAAGAAAAAACTTGAGCTCATTTAATATTTCAAGTACATCAAGGTATTACAAAAGTATACATGAATGTCCATTTTAAGGCCAGTAAATTATAATATGTCCATCAGCTTAATATGACTGGTATTAACTTGGAAAAAATACACACTTCGTGTACAAAATATACTACAAGCACCAAGCTTTGCTGGTTCCAATATAGAATTATTCATAGAATTCTGGGAACTAATACACTACTTTGAATATTAAAATTATTCTATTTGGTAACTACGAAAATATAGAATTGAATTTTGAAAAAAAATGTAACAAACTTTAACCCCAGACTATATCAACTTGTTAATTGTAAAAAAAACTTAGTCCATTTATCAGTAAAATACAGAAAAATGAAAATAATTATTTTCAAAATTTTGCTCTGGATACTGTATTTTGGTCATTAACAAGGTTCTGTCCAAATTTCATATAATTCCATGAAGGTTTGACAAAGTTATTGATGACTAAAAAACTTTAACCTTAGACTGAATCTGAATGTTAAGTGTAAAAAAAACTAAGTCCAATTATCAGTAAAATACAGAAAAATGAAAATAAATATTTTTAAAATTTTGCTCTGGATACTGTACTTTGGTCATAAAAAGGCTTCTGTCCAAATTTCATAAAATTCCATGAAGGTTTGACAAAGTTATTGATGACTGAAAAACTTTAACCCGAGACTGAAGATGAATGTTAACTGTAAAAAAAAAATAAGTCCATTTATCAGTAAAATATGGAAAAATGAATATAAATATTTTCAAAATTTTGCTCTGGATACTGTATTTTGGTCATAAACAAGCTTCTGTCCAAATTTTATAAAATTCCATGTAGGTTTGACAAATTTATTGATGTCTAAATAAACTTTAACCACCGACTGAACCTTAATGTTGACACCGCAGCCGACGGAATCTAGGATCGCTATGTCTCGCTTTCAGGAAATTTAGGATGGACAAAAAGCAGAAAAAGGTGAAAAATATTACTTGGTGCCGAACTTACCAACTAAATGCTGAAATGACTTTAAATAGGTGCCTGTTTGATCAGATGCTGATTTAACCAGGTGCTGATTTGACTTTTTGTATAGGTGCCGATTTAACTTGTACTCCATCTCACCAATGGACAAAAAAACAGAGATACTGTCTGAAATCATACTTGATTTCTGGGACTGAGTGTAACCTGATAAACTGTCGACAATGCATAGTTACTATTTTCTAGATTTAAAATTTATTATTTTTCTAGCCATATTTCGTCAGTTGCTTACTGCAGGTTGACAGTTTCCTCAGGCAACTCTGGGTTTCCTCTAAATATAAATCTTACTAGTTTTTGAAATGAATTTTTTTGAGAGCAACAAGGCCCTGAAAAATGACTTCAAAATTGCTAAATCTCTTTTCGGCAAAGCCCCCCTGGACCCCTCACCTAAAGGATTTTGCCTCCTATTCCGAAAATATTTCCTCTTATTCCAAAACTTAATGTTGGACAGTTGAAATAAGATTTGAAAAAATTTGCAAATTGAATTTACTTGTGATGCATCAGTTAAACATGTTGCATCAATAAACGGATATTACCAAATAAATAAAATCAAAGCATGAAATTCCAGTGATTTTTTTGTCTACAGAACAATTATATGTAGTGTAGATCAAAAGTATTTATAGGTATACAATGTTTATTAATTGTGTATTGAGCTGAATAATAAAGTGTTTATTCAATTATGTAATACAAGATATTGTGGTCAATTAAGATTGGCAATAAAGTGGATACTCAAACCTTTGAGTGTATCATGACAGTTGCCAATTATACTGGTATTGTATCAGTACTCTTACTTGCAAAAGGAAAGAATTGGCTTAACAGTTTTTGAAAAAAGTGTGGGAACCAACTTTGATATCAATACACAACTTGTACTAAATTTTAATCAATTACTTACACAAACATATGATACTAATATAATATTTTAAAAACTCTTATCTTATCTTGTATATTACCCTTTCACATTAATTCATAAATAGTAATATCTTATAAATTTTGATTTACAAAAGAACTTTAAGCAAGTGTAGATCTAAAGTGAAGTAGCTCTTTTACCTATCTTTTCTTAATTTCAGGGCAGTAGATGATTAAAATGGTGTATAGATTTTCTGCAAATCATAAAACACATCATTAGTTTCATCACAAGTCTTCAACTCTGAATTTTGCACCTTGTTAAAATACGGAGTGATCACATAGATCCAGCATGGATGGATCAAAAATTGGTAAAATTCATCATTTAAGGGCAATAACTCCTCCAAGAAGTCATCTGACAGTTTTGATGTAAATGGACAAAAAGTAGATCAACATTCTAAAATTTCTGCCCCCGTCAGATTTTCTCTGTTTAAAGCAGTTTTCAAGATAACAGCCAAAACTTGCATTTTACCCCTATGTTCAATTTTTAGCCATGTTGGTTGGCTGGCAGGGTCTTTGGACAATCAGTATTGACTACCTTTACAGGTTGCACTTTGAAAATACAGCTGATTCACCTCACCTACTGGTTCCGAGATATAATTTCCATGCTTTATCTCTTGAGAATTTTACTCGTATAAATAGTTGGGATAGCGTTCAAACTGATTTTTCAGGAAGGGATTGGTGCAGAATTTTATTACAAGTTTATACATTAAGAACCATACAATGTTGGAGGCATATAATTGTTGAAAATATGCTGCACAACCCTATGTTTTGACATTTGCAAAAAAAAGTATTGCATGTGAACTTTTCATTTCAGGATGATTTTTTACGAAACTTCATGGGAAATTGTATCGTCTATATAGACCTCATCGCTATTTGGGAATCTGCGACACCCGACCAGAGAATCTGCGATACTTGAACTATTGACGTCATACAACAATCACTTTACGTTTGTGGCATCAGACATTTTCAAAATTTTACAGGAACCTTTATGATGTCCAGTAATGGCAGACAAATAGCAATAAGGTGTATTTACAGAAGTGCAACCTTATACAAGGATTTTTATATACAGAAGTACAACCTTTTTTATTAATACAGGAGTTTTTTCAGGAATTTATGTTATTTTGAGAAAAATGCACTGGAGGTGCAATGTAGCCAATGTATGTTGTTGTCTTGTTATTTGTATACTACCATCAGACAATCAATCTTCAATCAATGTTTCTTGGTAGGGATTGAACCAGTAGTTCAGAGATTTAGTGATACAAGGAGACAACATTCTATAGATAATCCTACAAATAGCCCCTAACCATGGCCTGGTATAATATAATGGTCTGCTTCTATTAACTATATATAACTTACAGGGCTTGTTACAAGGGAATGATCTCAAAAAAACGACTAGAGCATGCACAGTAGCTGTCAGTTAGAAATCCCTTAAAAAAATAACATAGGATATATAGACTACCAATTCTATGTCAGGAAACAAGGTTTTCTTGTTAAGAAAAATACTCTCTGAGCATCTATATTTTTGACACTCGACGATTACAATGTTAAAAATTAACGACATTCCAATGTGTAATTCTTCATTTTCAAGGAAAATTACACCTTTTCTTGAATTAAAGTACCACAAAAATGGATTCTATATATCATAACACATACGAATCAAACATGTTGATAAGTGAAATCTTACCATTTTCTGTGATCTTTTAACTTTTCCAAGTTGATTCTAAGTCAACAACAGTCGATGATCTGCAGCCGAATCTAATCAATGTGTGCAAGAAAAGTTTTTGGAATATTCCAAACTAAAAGAGGGGCGATGTGTCATAGAGAATATTTTAATATGTCTAAAAATACGTAAAAACGTAAAATGTTGGACTTTGTAAAAATAATCATGATAAAATATATGCAATAATAATGAAATTAGAGTATCATACTTATTTTTGAATCTTATTATTCACTATTTTTGAAATAACAAAGCACCATCATTCCATCATAAATGGAATAATCTAATCCTAAGTGACGGATGATTTCGCGCCTGCTGAGCAGTTATCATTCCCCAAAATTGTCCAGGTGCCATGCAGTGAACTCCCCTGGCAATATCCATCCACTACATAGTCCACTCTTAAAGCGCGTTTCAGTGAGCATATTAGGGTGTGTTCATTTAAATAAAATACTATATCAAACTCCGCACTTCAGTTTGACTTTTTTTAATACACGAATGAATCAAAAGTTCCCATATTTAATAGTGTCTTTACTTGAAAAATACTCCGTTAATACTTTGTTAACCAGTACCATTTAGAAAGGGAGGCTATATTAAAATGTCATTGAATTTTTTTAGGCTACTGAAAATACATATTTTCTGAGCTTATGAAATAAATAACAAACGAAACTAGGTTGTTTGCGTTATATTATAATTGAACATATCAATATATGATCATATATATATATATATAAATATATTTGTACACAAAATAAATATTTTTGAGCTTAATCGAGCGGACCGATACAAATTCCTTATGTAGATCGAACCAAAACCGACCGTGAAAAACAAAACAGCGAAAACACTATGAAGGGGGAAATCCCCGAAATTTAATAACATGCATCTTCTAGTATAACCTTTCTAAATAGACACGGAATTCTTCGCAGTATCAAAACTGACTACGTCAGCTTTTTGGTTTTTGTTTGTTACCAGCCAAGGATTTGTATAGTAAAAAAATCCTTGTTACCAGCACAGAAAAAAAACTGACGTAGTATGTGTGATTTTTAAGGAGGAACATATTGACGCCACTTTCAGCGTGACCATTGGCAGTGGCGTAGCTACCTATAAAGGTTCGACTAGGAACGTACCTATACATACATTTGCCAATAGTGTAAAAGGTGTTGCCAATTCTAATATGATCGTTGAGTTTCTTGAACATATAAAACTTGATATAAGGAATCTCCGTGCCCAGTGTTATGACGGCGCCGCGAATATGTCCGGCAAGTATAAAGGTGTGCAGGCAAAAATACAAACATGCAGCATTTGCAGTTGTTGTCTCTACCCTGAATTCCCTGAAAGCTAACAATGATGACAAAACAGCACAGAGTATGAATGCGATACTTCCATTCGAATTTATCATGAGTCTTGTTGTTGCAGAACATATATTAAGCTCAACAGTCGCCTTGACAAATTATTTACAGAAACCCGATATTGATTGGATAGAAGCTTTGACAGAAGCTAAGATTGTCATTCAAAAGCTTTCTGATGAAAGAGGTGATGATACAGTTTGGGAGTCTTTGTTTGCAAGAGCAACAGATATGGCAGCAGAACACGAAATTCAGCCGTCAGTTCCTCGTATCGCTGGACGTCAACGACACAGAGCTAACCACCCGTGACCCTTCAGACTATTGGAGAGTTTCGTTGTACTTCGTATTTCTCGACCACTTGGTTGATGATATTACAAAGCGGTTAATCAGCAACGAGGAACGTTTCTTTTCATCTTATTTCATTCCCAAGTTAGGGAACTTGACTCCTGAAATAGCGGACAAAGTCTACAACGCTTACCGTTCGGATTAAGGTGATAAAACAGAATTTGACGATGAGGTCGCTCGATGGAAAGCCCATTGGCGTATTGAAGATAACAGGCCAGATAGACTTCTTGGTGTCCTTAATGTCACACACGCCGATCTGTACCCTTCGGTGCATAGGATTATTTGGATATTATTGACAATGCCCGTTTCATCGGCAACTAGTGAAAGATCCTTCAGCGCGATGCGACGCGTCAAGTCCTACCTGAGATCGACAATGGGAGGCGAGAGACTTTTTAATCTATAGGCTCTTCTTCATATCCACCGACACCTCAATGTTGATGTTGATGCGTGTCATAATCGATTTTATTGGCAGAAAAAACCGTCGACTGGACTTTGAATAAGTGTATCATTGACTTTGTTTATGAAACTATAGACCTGAAAGATATTTATAAAGAAGTTCAGAAATTTTAGATTTGTTTAACCAATTTTTGCCAAATGAGTTAATTAACAAATTTCGTTCTAAAAAGTTGAAAAACGTTTTTCTTGACCCGCTGGAGACCCCTCAACGTAAGGCGCGAAACCCGTACGCAAAAAGGCAGTTGCGTACACATTGAGAATTATTTTTTGCATATATTATTCCAAAAATTTGCCTACACTTAAATACAAGTCTAGTTACGCCCAGATTGGCCTTTTCGTGGCGGTCCGTTTTGATTGGTTGAGCCTGGAAGCTGGAGAGAACCACCGACCTTCGACAGGAAAACTGACAATCCTAGTCAATTATGATTGTAGTTGAATGCACATGCCACTTGCGGGGCTCGAACTCAAAACCGCAGTTTTGATAGCCTATAGTGATATACAGTAGTTGGGCTACTTAGACCACTCCGCCACCGAGGCCCCAAGGGGAAACATGAAGAGAGTTGTAATTTTTATTTCACAAATATTTATAAGTTTTATTTTTTCTGGATTCTCTAATTTGAATTTAGTTATCATTAGATAAGTTTACAACAATACAAAACAATTATGACACCCAATATTGAGCAGTCCTTTCAAGTTAAATTACATACAAATGATTACATATTGGTTACATTAATTATTATGACAATTTTGAAATACAAAATTTCAAAAATCCAAAGCCGCAAGGATACTATGACAAAACAGTTTCTGTAGCATAATAGGGGAACAGGCTCGTTAAGCGAAGATGACCACCGTCCGTTCTGAGGGTCACACAAGACTGGACTGTGAAAGGAAATTAAGATATATAATGGTATAAACTGAAGTAATTAAAACACTTATTCATCAGACATTTGAATCTCCTTGATTATACTTGCACGTGGTACCGTTAAATCTGAAATAGTTTTTCCTCTCAGATGAATTAGAATGAATTGTTTCAGATAACTCTCTATTTAATCCTCAGCAGATATAGAGTTACACATTACATGTAATTGATATAGTCAGCTATAAATGGTCCCAAAATGACAAAATATGAAACAATTCAAACAAAAAATTCAACGGCCTGATTTATGACAAAACAATAAACGAAAAACAAATAAACAAATATGAATGACCGCAACAAACGACCACACCGAATGACAGCAACAAACGACCACACTGAATGACAGCAACAAACGACCACACTGAATGACAGCAACAAACGACCACACTGAATGACAGCAACAAACGACCACACTGAATGACAGCAACAGACGACCACACTGAATGACAGCAACAGACGACCACACTGAATGACAGCAACAAACGACCACACTGAATTACAGCAACAAACGACCACACTGAATTACAACAACAAACGACCACACTGAATGACAGCAACAAACGACCACACTGAATTACAGGCTCTTGATTTGAACAGGTACAGATAGACTGTTGCGGGATGGAATATGTTTGTGAGCACCCCCCCCCCCCCCCTAAACCCATAACAGTGGCGTAACAGTACAACATATATAGGAACAAGTGTGCTTATTTGATTTCAATTAAACGGAATTGCTGGGATCAGCCATAGAGTGTGATTCATAACAATACAGAAACACGTGTTATTAAGGGGGCGCAATGGGTGTCCCAACGAATACCTACAACCTGTCGATAAACTTTATTGCCCAAACAAGAAATCGTCCCGGAATAATTCAAGACTTGGAACTATTTTTTATTGTAAACTCTTATTTCACTTATGAAAAAAATAAATCAAAATCAAATCAAATCAGAACAAGGTGTGTGCTTCGACTGTCACAACCTTGTCATTGTAATTACTTGGTATGTTGATTGATTGATTGATTGTTGGTTTTTAATGCCACTTACGACACACTATATAGTGGAGGGCATTTTTGGTGAAAGAAGCCGTAACACTTGGAGAGAACCACCGACCTTCGACAGGGAAACTGGCAATCCTGGTAAATTAAGATAGGAGTCAAACGCAACTGCCACGAGCGGGGTTCCAACTCACAACGTCAGTGTACAGACACACTCCTGGTTAACCATCAACCAAATGGTTAAGCGATAAAAAAAGTTTACTGGCACGTCCTGTTAATCTTTTCTGGTACAAAATATAGATAGGGTAGGTCGACTTTTCATCAATTTATTGTCAATTTTGTCGAATAAAACCTCCAACTAGCAAACTGTCAATCGAATACGACCGTCAGAATCCGTGAACCTTCTGTATAGTACAGTCAGTAGTTGTCATTATAACTCGTTTCTGGTTTTGACATTAGTTTTGTATGATCGAGACCTGTTGGTCCATAATATTAATGGAGATACCCAAGAGTAGCGGTTTTTAAAGCCTAGAAAACGAGATGTAAAGTTTAGCTCTGGAGAGGTGAAGATGTAAAGTCTAGCGCTGTAGGTGTAAAGTCGAGCGCTGTAAGTATGCGGTATAGCATTAGACAGTTAGGAGTTTGCTTTCGCAATTCGGTCCTGCTAAATTTGTCAAATAGGAAAGTTGGTGTGCAATAAAATTTATTCTTAGATAGCTGAAGAATAATATAACCTTCAAAATGGCTTTATATGAACATCAAAATTGTATTTTGCATGTTTTATAGGCCATTTTCTGTTTGACAGTTCTATTTTCACACCCATACCGGCATTAGGTCCAGAAACTATTGATGCGTGTTTTTCAACAATGTGTTTTACGCTCGAACTTTTCAGTTCAATTTTATCGAAAAATGGTGTTAAATGCATATGGTTTTTAATTGACATCTTGATAGATATATATGTCAATGGTTTCAGAAAAGGTATCACTCAAATGGATTGAAATTCTACTTTGGACCATATTTTAGGGACATTTTCGACATTTTCA